AGCGAACAGATGATTTGACATATCATTAAAAAAACAAAGATATACTTAACGTACTTTGGAAATTACTCCTATTAATTAAAAATTATACTTTGTATATTTTTCAAACGAATGTTACTTGCCCATCTTTCTTCATAAGAAAATAATAGTAATCGTATGCTCAAAAACGAAGTTTTTGAAAAAAGCACTCCTATTGTAGGACCCCGGTAAATGTGGATACATATGATTCCTTTTTATAGTGAATTACTTCCTCCCGTACGTGTGGGCAGAATTCATTTTGCGAGTTCCAGATATCTAAATCGTAGTACCGAAACGTCCGTCTGTCCCACCCACCCTGCGTCTATCTCTCTCTGCATGTGTCACTCTCTCTGCATGTGTCACTCTCTCTGCATGAGTCACTCTCTCTGCATGTGTCACTCTCTCTGCATGTGTCACTCTCTCTGCATGTGTCACTCTCTCTGCATGTCTCTCTCCCTCTCTCTGCATATGTCTCTCCCTCTCTCTGCATGTGTCTCTCCCTCTCTCTGCATGTATCACTCTCTCTGCATATGGTCTCTCTCGCTGCATATGTCTCTCTCTCTGCATATGTCTTTTTCTCAGCCTGTTTCCATCTGCGTATATGTCTCTCTCTCTCTCTCTCTCTCTCTCTGCATATTTCTTTTTCTCTGCATGTCTCCATCTTTGCATATGTCTCTCTCTCTCTCTACGTATGTCTTTCTCTCTCTCTCTTTCTCTCTCTTTCTCCGAATGTATCTCTCTCTTTCAAGTACAAAATAAATTTACGACCGCAGAGAACGGATGTCGGAAAATTTTCTTTAACGAATCGAACGATAACGATATGAAAGAATTGCCTACAAAAACCTTTGAACCCTTTTCTTAAATCGTTGAACAGTTTAGGAAATTAATTTAGCGTATTCCTAAGTAAATAAGAGCCTTAACTAATAAGAGTAGGTTACACAGCGATGTACGAGTATAAATGTTATATTGTGAAGCCAGGTGTCGTGCAGTGTTAAGAAGCGAAATTACGAAGGAAGTTATTTACGTTTTATAGTGAAGTGTAGTGAAGTTAAATGTACAAACAGTCAGTGCGGATGTATATTATACAAGTTTGTTTTTCTTCAAGTAACTTATCATTTTTATGAATCGTCAGTATCAATGTTGTTATTACTATTATTATTAAATTACCTTATTTGTGTAATTAACTGCCACCAAGTTTTACCACATTGCATAATTATATAAATTTATCGTTATCTTATCATTACGTAGATCATAGTAATGACTATACAAGGTTCCGTCTCCCTGGCTTCTTGATTTTGTACTTGGGTGGAACTACGGTATATTTTCACGCTTTTTAAATTTTCGTTCAGCACAACTTTCCCCTTTACAATTCTAACATTTTTTTGGCTTTTGCAATCTATATCTACTTTCAAATTCTCCACGACCACGCACAAATAACTGGTGCAAGACTTTTGATTGATCCATCATTCGCGTTAAGTGAACCAATGTCCAAACCCACAATGCTCGACGACGTAAGTACAAAAAAACAACAACTTGGCAGGCAACGATAAGTCTATATTTTAGAAACATATTCGTCTCAAGGTGATCAATCCTTGGGACGTACGATACCATGAACTATTTTCAGACAACTATTACTCGCGCATGGCGAAAATAATATCTCATGACCCGTTACATAAAAGCATCCGTAATGTAAATCAAAAAGGGAGGTATTTAAAAAATTCATTATGCACTTTTTGAAAAATTAAAAGAATACATAAAAAAGGCGTTTATAACAAGGAATTCAATGAGTAAGAGCACCACCTACACAAAATGTTTAGAGAAAAAATTTCAGTGCTTCTTGATGTAATCTTCCTTTTTAACATTACCCATGTTTCACCCAAAATTAGGCGATAAGTATTTCAAAAGAATAATGATTTAATTTAAGAACTAATTATGGAGAACGAATTGCATCCAAACAAAAATTTTGTGTATTAACTTACGCAGCTATGGGAAGACGAAATTTCAGAGAATTTAATGAAAATGAGAGGTGTCATATTTATGTTTTTGTTCTATCCGAGAAAATACTAAACAAAAAATTTGGAGCTAGTTTTGTAAAAAAATTTAAAATGAGGGTTCATGTAGAGTACCCCCCAAACTACAATTATCCGTTTTAAATTCCAAGGGTCACGACTTCTGCTACATCTATTTTGAAAAATTAATTCTGGTAAAAAGAAATTCGGCCTATGATTTAGCCGCTATCCTTGTTCAGATGCGTTTTGCCATAAATCGACTTTTCGGGAACAAGGGCCCGTAAAACGGGGTTTATGACTACTTGCGTTAGAGGAAGTAATTTATTATAAACGGCAACAAAGGCGTGGCTACATGCTCGGAGGCCCCTCATTGCCAATGCCATCTTTACTGGGGGCCGGCAAATGTCCTCGTTCGGGGCCCTGATGCCACGCACCGGTTGCACCAGCCCAGCGACGCCACTGATCAGGAACAAGATTTATCCACTTTTTCGTTACCACAACTTGGCAACGAAGTTTTTCCGTCGAAAAATCGTAGTTTTACGCCCCATGATTCCAATACTTTACTGACGAAGTAAGACAGGAAAGTAAAAATAGCATTTGTTCGAGATCCTCTTCTTCTAAGCTTGTAAGCAAGTCGTTCGGACAGAATAGATAATCCATCAACTATATTTTTCATGGTAACCCACTTTTCAAACACCTTTTCGTTGTACACTTACAGATCGCAAAACAAAGCTTATCTTTACTCCGGGCGTGGCTCGTATTTAGCTACATTTGTTAATACTCAGTTTTCCTATGTTAATACGGAAGGTGTTGCTTCATTGTATTTGTAAATATATAATGGAGAAATAAATAAAGAACTTAACATATTAAATTAAGTATAAAGAACTTAACATATTAAATGACTACTGTAAACAGTAGTTAGTGAAAAATTAAGGAAATTGCTAAAGGAATTCATAACTTATAAAATACACATTCTTATTATTTATTAATTGAATTTACTTATTTAACTTGGAATTAAATTCATTTTAGGAATATCCATATTTTTTTCAGTTTTCAAATACAAATTTCTCCCATTTTCCTTGGTCAAATTCTCTCTCCTACATATCCTCCTTCCCATTCTCAGGTGGGCGGACTGAGTGTTCCAGCGCTTGCAAGCTATGACGTCCGTAGCACTCAGGAGCTGCGAGCTGACTTGGCAAGAGCAAACCTGTGTTAGAACTGCTCTAGAAGACGTTTTGGGTTAATGCAACACATAAAGCAATATTTGGTTTCTGTTGAGAGCATAATACGACTACGTGCTACCACAGAGTTTCCCAAGTATGTAGTCTATCTCATGATGTGCGTGTGCAAATTACTCAGTAATTTAATGGGTGAGTTTTAAAGTATTTATCAGTCACATATCTTGAATCCCTGTTATCATGCAACCCAACAGGTTCGTTCACTTTCACATTCCTTTCACTGTACTTGCACATACCTTTCTGGTAAGAAATTTAACATTCTTAGCAATGCATTTTAACACCCTTAGCAACGTAAATAAATAACCATCGATCCATCGTAAGGCAAATACTTATTAAAAATCTGGCAATGTTTTGTAAATATCAGATTCGTACAATTCAGAATAAACGTAACTCATTAATTTTGGGGATAAATATTAATTGTAATATTAATAGTGTAATTAAAAATGGTTAATTAACTTAATTTAATCATATTTACGGACGACTTGCAGGTGTCGCCATTGGAAGCTGATGCGTCAACTTCATCAAAAGTCAGTCCTTTGTGTATCTTTAGGTGCAGGAGATTTATTTGCATCCTTCTTTATTCAAATCACAGTATATTAATATTGTTTAAGTAGTTATATCACAAGCAACATCCCACCATATCATAGTAACGTGCTACAGCAACAGAAATTATTTGTTTAATATCGCAGTAATGTCGTAAATGTTTACATGAATCGTGAGTTTTTATGGTGACCTATAAAATGCTCAACATACCGCGAAATGTTATATAGTTATTACTGCTTCATCCAAATTAAAAATCTCGGCTCTGCAATGCTCCGTGTCAATTTTTAACTTTTGGCCTCTGCAGCAATAGCTTAACATTTCTAGGTATGCTAATAGCTATAACATGGATTACCTGTCTCATTTCCAGGATTATAAAATAAAATACTTCTACAACAGAGTAAAATAATGCTGGTTCGTTATTGTGATTTAGCAATGAGAATTCATGACATGAGAATGCATCCTCAAAATCATACACACAGTGTTACATGATGAATCATTAAAAATCGGACAAACACTGAAAAAACTTCTCAACTGAATCACAAGAAACTTCAATTTGAAAATCAGATATTAATAGTTGACTTGGGATTTCAACAGCACAAGTACTCTAAACATTAATCAGAATTTTTTTTGAAGAATCAAAACCAATTATTTTGAATATTTTATGTCGTCTTGTGCCTGGCTTCAAAACTAAAGAAATTCATTAAAATAACACTTATCTAAGTAAGAAAAATAATGGCAGGAGTAGCCTACCTTCTCTTTTGTAGTTCTAACGGGCAGTGTTGATCTAATATATGATTAAAAATAATGGGACAAATATCTGTGAGAAGAATCTCAAACTGGTAATGCAAGAAAGGTTTATGAACGAAGTATGCAGTAACGTAATACTGGCTAGAAAAAGTAACATGTCAAATTGATGAGATTTGTTTCAGTTGTTGCTTTTCATCCTATTCAACAAAAAAAATGCCCAGGATTGGATTTAGTGTTTCGCTGACCACTTCAACAAAATTAATTAATGTGACTGTGGGGAAGTCAGTGATAAAACAGAAGGAAAACATTTAAAACATTATAAGTAGTACATTTTCCCCCAAACTTTAACACTGGAAGAATAAATATACAACAAATTAATTCTTAATCTAGGATATTTTGAAACACTAAAATAAGGAATTTTTGTGGTAAGGTAATTTCTCTATTCCACGGAACGTTCAAAACCACATCTGATTGCGCACTTTTCAATACCATCCATACAGTTTATTTTTGTGAGGCATAAATAAAAACACTGGAGCACATGACTCACCGGTTTGTCTAAATGCAGAGTATATTTTACTTTACGTGTACATAGAATGTTATAGTCTGCTGAGATGCACACTGCCATGAGATCTCCACATAAGAGATGTAAGTACAGACACGATTCAAACTACACCTGTCTTCAACCATTTTGCACAAGAATGTGTATTTTCAGTGGGGGACGCTGGCCTCTTGTTTGTCGCAGTGGAGATAGAAGTGTTGGTCAAAACAGATGAATTTGCTTCAGATAAGATGGACAGAAACTTGTTAATGACTGCAGTCATATTGTCACATCCTGTTCCATCGCTTGCAGTATCTAGTGCCAGGCAGAAGTCAGAGCTGAAAAAACAAAATCAAATTTCAAACAAACGCACGAAAGAATGGAGACAATATAATGTTGGGGTTAATAAAATATGGTACAGTGTATTTGTATACATTGTACAGTGTACAATGTATTTGTGTATTCTGATTAAACTACAGAATTTTTAAAATCTTTCTCACATTCTCACACAGGATAACCAATTCCAACAAGAACAAAACCTCTAGTTTCTTTAAGTCAGGCAAATTGGTTTCTGAACAGTACTCTTCTTTGGTGTCATGGAGTCCCAATGTGTCTATTTCCATCAAATTTAGATATTTGTTTTTCATTATTACACAACATTCTCTATACTACGTATAAGAGGTAATACAACAACCACAAAAAACAAACTACAAGAAAAATATGCTAGACAGCTATTGAAGTTCTGTTCTCCAGGTTTGAGAAAATAAATTTTCTAGGAACTCTTTGGCACATTGAATTCATTCAAATATTACATGTACCCTTTTTTCGCAAGCAAGCACTCGTGTAGTATTTAGTTCAAAAAAGAGGTTCTAAGAAACTCAGCAATTTTTCCATCCTCAAAAAATCAGTGTTATTAGTAATTCTCTTTCACAATTATGACTATTTTCAAATTTTTTAAAAACTACTCCGAATTATCCTCTAAAACCTCTATCAAGCTTCTTATCGACAAAAGAAAAAACTTAGAACAGGCACTATGCTATACTATTACAGTGTGATCTATGTCAAGTTTTTTTGCTTTACCCCACATTGGTTGTCTCATAATGATCTAAACACACACAAAATTCCTAGTTTTTACCTTGCAGGATCGTATTGTAGAGCGAGGAAATCAAATAAGGGACCTGCTTAAGGAGGTTCATGTATTTACGTAAGAAATGATATTGATTCTATCTTGTCAGAATCAATTTATATGCAGTTGAAAAAGTTTTTGAAATTACAGTCTTACATCTTACTACGCTGAAAGCAATCTTACTGTAAAGAATATTGCATCACATGCCGGAATTCACTGCGCGGATTGCGTCATCTACCGGCGCCCCCTTCTGAACGGTTCCGGGTTATTCGGGAGTCCCGTAGAAATGTGGAGCAAGTGCCGGTTGTGTCAAGACGAGCGCCGACCAGATATAAATTCGCCGCTGCCGGCGGCCGCTAGTAATAGTCGAAGTCAGCGAAGCGGCGAGTCAGTGTATGTAATCATTGAGTAAGGAGTCAGTCCGTCAGTGTGAGTATGTAGTAGTCTGTCTGAAGTGGAAGCTGAGCTGTGATTGCGTGCATTGCGGTGAATAATGGTGCAGTAGAGGAACAGCAATCAGCAGTTTGAAGTCTGCAGTGAAAGCTGAGCTATGAAGTGTGCATCGTGGTAAACAGCAGTGCAGTGGACCCTAGTCTGTTCAGTGAAGCGTGGTCAGCGCAGTGGAGCGTGGACAGTGCATCGCACTGTGCGATAGTGTAGAAGAAGTGAATAGTGTAAATAAATAATCAGAAGTGAGCAGTGTAAATAAATAATCAAGAGAACGGAGTCGTGTGTAAGGAGAATATTCAAGTGTAGAACACAAGGTCTGTGTAACCTACTTGTAAATAAATCAGGTATTTTTAGTGTAGCATTGTTTACAAATAAACATGTTTTAAATATTGAGTATGTTTTAATTCACCAAGGAGAAACGTTACAATTGGTGTCAGGTGTGTGGGGTGTTCAAATCAGTAAAACGTGTGATGAATTAAAAACTTAATGAAGGGGCGTTTCACAAAAACCTTATGGGATCTGAAAGTAGCAGAGTTGAAGGAGGAGTTAGAAGAGCGGGTCAGGACACCACCGGAACGAAAATAATATTACAAGAACGTCTTGCTAACGCGATGAAAGCAGCAGGAGAGGATCCTCAGAGGTTTCTCTTCAAGACCGTAAACTTTTCGGCTATATACAAAATGTTATAAAACCTGGAACAAAATATAACACAGAATGATACATTGGTTAGAGAAGGAATCGAGGAGACCATTTTTGAAGAACGAAGAAAAAATAGAGGAGAAAATTTCGAAGAACGAAGAAAAAGTTGAGAAAATGGAAGAGAAATTTCTGAAGAGTGAGGAAAAATTACTAAATCCATTAGAAGAGAAGATGATGTTTCCTACCTTAAGGGTCTTTGTTATTAACGACCGGTGGCAACTCAAAGAACTTCAGAACGATCAGGAAGACAACGCAGAAATGAAACATGTTTTGAAATGGAAAATGACGCGACGGAGACCGAGGTGGCAAGAAATACTGTTTCTCATCAGTAGAATCATACCGGGCGCAGTGGGATTCAATCGCTGAAGAAGAAGATGTTTTTAAACGAGTTGGGGAAAATGAAGATGGCTCTCAGAGAGGATAAATGATGTCCACTGAATTGAAAGGTTGCCGAATGGAAAACAGCGAATCGTCCATTCCAGTCGACTGGCCCCGTACGCGGGAAGTAATGAAAATGACGGAGAAGACACCGCAGTCCGGGAAAAGTGGCAAATCTCTTCATCCAACACTTTTCTAGAATTGTGGCTGAACTTACAAAGGAACTAAAACCGTCAAATTCAACATCGTTACCTTCAGAAAAAAAATTCGATACGATTTTTATTTCCGAAATTTCTAACGAAATCTTACGAAAAGGCAGTAAACTAAAAAATAAATATTCATCTGGTTTAAATGAATTTCCGTATTGTTTAATGAAAACGTGTGTACCTGCCTTTAAACACCCGTTAACTTATATTTTCAATGGTTCTTTATGCACAGGAATATTTCCAGATATTTTCAGAACAGAAAAAATTAAGCCATGTTGAAAAATTAAGCCATGTAACGAAATACTGGAAGAAAAAGTTGGGAGAGCTGTAGGTAGAAACTGCAACGAAAATCACCTCTTCTTTCAGTAGTTTTTGTCAGACAAGAGTGTTCTGGAAAAGAGATGACACACAATTGACAAAGATTGATACTTGGAGAAATAATTAACGAGTATTGAAGAAATTGACACAGTTACCTCTGTCCAAACGAAATTAAACCTTTCTTTACGAATTTCGTCGTTTTTACTTCGCTTCATGTTCAACGCATCCAGTGCCCAGGCACATCTGAATTGAATCTTGAGGCGTTTCAAAAAAAGGTTTTTTAAGCTTTCCTGACATGCCTCTGATGACAATGCGAGCTCGTGGCGTCTAAAATGAAATGCTGATTCTCAGAAATTTTGACAAAGCTCAAATGTTCGACGAAGATGCTGCGCCACGGAGCTGATGCGTATCATTCGGAGACGCTCAGAATTACAGGAAGCAGTGACAATTTCTTACGTCAAAGGCACTTTGTAACGGAATAAATTAGTATTTGGTCAACAGAGAGGAATTCGCGCGGTTTTTTTGAAGCGCCAAGTTTGAACTTATTAATCTTTCTTCTGAAACGCCCTCAAGACGTCAAAATGCCCTATTAAGAACCAGGCCAACTTTTGAAGCATATTTGGCGGTCAATGTGGCAAGACGCTTTTTAAAAAAGGGAGCAAAAAAGTAATTCCAAAATTACGACCTATTTCTCTTTTGCAGTTTCATAAAATATTGGAGAGGTCTTTCCTATACGCGGAATTGACATTTCCTCAGCGAAACGAAGCATTTCAGTCTCACACACGGTTTTAGAAAATAAAATCTACAGAAACTGCATTTTTTTATTTTCTTAAGATTTGCTTATCAATGGCAAAAATGAAGCTACAGATTGGAATATTTTTAGATCTCTCGAAGCTTTTGACTTATTGACTATAACATGTTGCTATCAAAATTACCTTCTTATGGAATTCGTGGTATCGCTGGTTGGATAAACTCGTACCAAAAATCGTTCAAAGAGTCGAACTGGCCGATACTGGCACGAAGGACAGTTATTTACTTATCTTTCAATTCTTTAGCAAGTTGAATATGGGGTCGAGGTTCGATCTAGGTCCTATCTCTTTCCTGTATCCATAAAGATTATGGCGTCGTCTTTAAAACGAAGAGCGGTTCTTGTTTTCCCGATGAACAACGAATGTTTTTTGCCAAAAAGCAACAACAAATTGAATTGAATCTTATTTACGTGGCGGACTCAGGCCATTAGCCTGCTCTTCGTCTGACACGCAAATTTTCGTACGCTCCTTTCACGCAATAGCAGAGAAAGGGTATTCTTGGCGAGAAACAGGCGATTTGAATTTAAGCTCAAGAGGCGTCATGTAGGCTTGAGGATCTTTTACATGCGGGTAAACTCTACTAAATGGGAAGCCGCTTTACTTCCCTGCGAAGGGGATGGTAAAACTGAAAAGGATTTTTTCGCCTCAATCTTCGGGTTTGAACCGCCAACTTCGGTAAACGTTCGGACGCTAACACGTTCACAAATTCCCCCGCCCGCGGCCCGGGCCCATTAAAAAATTGGGGAAAGACAATTTCAAAAGTTTCATCTTGGTTTTGTAATAAATTAAATCGTTAATGAAGAAAAACCTTTTAATGCATTTTTGCCTTTCAATAGAATCGGGCATGCTCCATTGGGAATATGCAATTAGGTGATGTTCAGGTAACAAAGTTCTATGTCTCTCAAGTCAGTCAAACTGAATAAATGTACATTATAAAAACACTAATTAAGTTCATTATGTTACGCATTCAGATAATTATTTTCAATTGTCAGCCATCATGGCAGCTCGTTGGTGTATTTTGCGAATGTTTTCCGCCTGAGATATGGATAAAATTCTGGGAAACTCATCATGTGTACTCAGACCTTTAAGATGCCAAGAAATATTTCGAAAATGACAAAAATTTTGCCTTATCGCAATATGCAAGCCTCTCTTCATTGAGCTTGGAATCTTCTCACTTCCTCTTGCCTATATATTTACGAATTCTCGTAATTATTTGTAAAAGTGACTTACTTAAGGTGGGCAACATATATTTCATGCATATACTGATTTTTTTAATTACACACACATGTCGTAAACATCGAGATCATCAAGTGTTTAGTATCAACCAGCTCTCTTCATGAATCTCACATGTT